CATATATACAGTGGTCCCTCGATATAACGCGGTTCACCTTTCGCGGCCTCGCTGTTTCGCGGAACAACTCTTTCCAATAGCCTTAGCTCATAGCTCATTATCTTTTCCACTCTATAGTTACTACAGCTCTGCCCATTACCTTTGTTCTGTTTTATGTCATGTTTTCCAGTCACTGTGTATTTATATACCACTCTGTATTTAATATTAGTTACTATTAATCTCTGGCTATCTTCCACAATGTGTCCTTGTCCTACCTTTCTCCCTTTACATTTTTTCCTCACTAACCAAAGTTCTTGCTCACAGGGGGGTCATCTGATTATTGGGATTTTCTGTTTTTTCTCTGTATTATTGTAGGGTCTTTACCGTACAATGTAAAGCACCTTAAGGCAACTGCTGTTGTGATTTTGCCCTATATAAATAAAACTGAAACTGAACTGAATTCTTGAAAACTGGGACCAGTACACTTCTTCTCTGCTCTTCAGACTTCCTTTCACTTTGAGTTAATCAATCTGGTTAGTCCATTGCCCTCTCTTCTATACAACTCCATACTTCACAGGACTTTTTTTTCCTGTGCCCAAGTGCTTTCAAACATTCACATACAGACTCAGACTAATGGATCCATCAGAGGCAATCCTTAGTAGATCCCTGATTCCATCATTCAAACAACCTTCCAATTTGTAAATGAACCACTTTGCCACTCATAAGCTGTTTCTTAGATATTTGCAATGAATAGCTGTACAGGTGTACCTAATAATACAGCCCATGATTGTATATAGTTTAAAAAAATAATTACACACGTCAGCTTATCTACTCTGGAACGTAAATATATAGATAGTGCTTTGCGAGCACATTTTAATCTTTTTTTTCCAAATTTAAATAATTACAATATACAATATCAGTCTCATATTTTTGTACTGGGAGATGCAATCAAACATAATGCTACAAACAGAAAAATGCTATTTTAACACACCACATTTAAATCCCCCTTTGACATAGCATTTCAGGTGTGCTATGACATAAGTGTTTCATATGAAACGTTTTTAGCGTTTTTACATTGTCACATCCTTTTTGCCCACCTGTCCCAAGTGCATAGCAACTGGCCGACTGTCTTCCCAGTTTTGCAGTGACCTGTTGCTTCTAGCTGCACCAGTGGAGGTGGCAAATCCTGCTGTGCTGTCATCATCAGTCACTGCTGACCCCTCAGTGGAGAGTCCATTCTCTGCTTGCTCCTGCAGTGGTGGGGGGGACACAGGAAGAAGAAAAGTTAACAAAGGTGAAAGTAGTGATGGCAGAGAAGAAAAAGAAGGACAGAGGCTGCATGCTGTGGCTGGAAGGCCATAGGGTCAAAAATGACAGATTAGGGAAGCCATCATTATAATTCATGATTAAAACTCCCAAATGATTCAGAGCAGGAAAACAAATCAATACCTTTTGCTTCAACCGACTCTTGACTTCTCTGATCCTCATTTTTGCATGGTCCTTGGCCTGTTGAGCACATAAGCACACATAGGTCATTGCCATTGTGAATGTATTTACATCTTCTTATGATTCTTACATTTCAAAGGAAAGTTGAGGCAAGTCTCATCTACACAGTGAAACTACGTAAATAAGAATAAAGGTGCAGAGTATCACCCACGTCGACACCTCATGCTCACAGATCCTTTATACTTTTCAGAGGAGCTCTGTTAATTAAACCTTGAAACAATATAGCTTTGTAACACACAAGGTCTGTTGCTGATATGGTTGATCACCATGTTAGCTCATATTGTAACACAGGGGATTAATATTAATAGCTGATACATGGAAGAAATTTCAAAAGTCACTAAAGTGCTCACAAATTTATAAACTGTCTTCATAGCTGGGTTTGCTTTGGTCTTCACTGTGTTGAAGATGGCTCCACCACCTTTCTGCAAAACAAACAAAATTGTTATATATTTATATATATTACGATTAATTTTTAGTTGAACCAGTATCATCAAAGTTCTCAAACTCCAATCAAAATCCTTAAAACCAGTTGAAACATTAAATTAACATTAGCCCATCAAAGTCTCAAAAAGGAGAGGCGGGTGTCT